GGGCAAATCTAGGTGGATGGGTGCGGGTTGCGTAGGCATCCCTCCGGATGCACGCCATATGTTTATCTTTCATGGATCATGGTCATATAAAAAATCGAGTTATCTTTAGACTTTAAGGTGTCAAATAAGAAACATTCTAATTATGATTTCAGGACGGAGGAAATAAACGGGTGCCTTCAAAGTCCAACTTTAAATGGCGCGTGCCCGGCAAACCGGAGACGAGCCCATGAGCATGCAGAGGACCCATTGGCTTTGCGTCATGACTCACGAGCCACGACTGACGGGTGGCGAGACGAACACAGTGACGCGTAGACTTTTCCGTTCGTCGTTGGGCCAGCTGACCAAACGCTAAAACCTAAAATGCATTGGTTGGGCAGGGCAGCTCGCGCGAACCATCCACCACCGACGTTTTTGCCTGCGCCATCCACCAGCGCCAGCGCCCGTCCACGCCGTGCGCATCTCTGATCTTGCATCGCTGGCTTGTGGCCTTATACAGATGTACACTTGTACCAATAGTATCTTATAAATTAGACTGCTTCCGAGTATTCCGTCTTAAGAAGAGATCTTCTCATGTAGATCTAGAAAACCCCTGAACTACCCCACCCTTACATAGCGGCACCGTAGCTTCGTGAAATGAGCCAGCCACAGACCTATGCTTTAGAAATGGGACAAACGAGGGAGTTTTTATCCCCGGTCACTGTGGCCGAAGCCAATAAGGGTGAGCCACTCAGGGCTTGAACCCAGACCAACCCTGGGGGGAGGTATTGAGTTGGACTGACCAACCGGCTAGTCGACAGTTCCCACCAGTAGTATCTTATACGAGTCGTATCTTATCCAATACACTGGCTAGATCATTTCCGTATTTGTTTTTGTAAAGCATGGATCATTTCCGTATTTGTTTTTTGCAAAGTAAGCGCCGGCCATGTATATACTACTATTACATCACATAGAGCCTAACACTGGGAGGCACATGCATGGTGCCATTGTCCCGCTCCTTGACTTGTTGATATAAATGTCCATGCAGCCCGAGGCCCGACGGCTCGGCACGAAGCTCGCAAATTTGGCCTGGCCCAAGCACGGGCCGACCCGGTGGTGTTCGGGCTCGGGCTGGCATGACCTGGTAGAGCAGGCCATGCCTGGGCCTTACCTCAGGCATGGCGTGCCAGCTCGGCCCGGCCCGGCCTCCCCACCTCCCTTCCCCACCTCTCAACGGCCCACTGTCCCAATAGGCTTTCAGCCTCCAGCCTTCCCCCCTAATATAAAATCAAGCGGATGCGGCGCCCTCCCCCTCATCCCGAACCCTAATCCATTTCTGTCCACTCCACCCACTGCTCCGCTCTCTCGTCTCGCCTCTCTGACTCCTCTGCTGGCGATTGGCGTCCGTCCTCCCCGACTCAGGTGACCTCGATCCACCTACCACCGGCGAGCCGCTCCCTTCTCCTCCTCCCTCTCCCTTTCTCCCCTCTAGATCTTGGTGATTATGTGAGTTCGTGTCACTGTTTGTCCCTCCTCCGCCGCTCGCCGTCCTTGCTAACCGGTGTGTCATCTTCTCTAGGTGGCCCTCGTCTTCTCCGGCACCGAGCTCTGGTTGCATAGGTAAAACCCTAACCTAACCCTCCTCTTCTTCTATTGATCTATTCTAATATGATCTTTTCATCCTCCTCCATCTCTTTGCGTAGGTCGGTAGCCGATGCGTAGTCCTGTAGCTGTGGCATAGAGCGACCAAGGCGGCTGCTGATGACGATATCGTCTGGATGCTCACCGGCAACGATGACTTGATCGCGACAGGTCTAGCCCCTAAGGACGATGACGACATCAGAGAGGGCGCTGCTGTGTTGTTCGGTATCGATGTCGGTAGTGGCTCTGCTGGTCTAACTCCGATCGATCTGGATGGCGATGGTGGTGAAGGGGCGACGATGACTGGGAACCCGCTGGGCTCTAACTCCAACAGCTCTGCTCCATCTGTTGCTGGTAACTCTAATGTTGGTAAGCATAAATTACCTGTGTGGGCTGATTTTGATGAGATATATGAGACTGTGAATGGTAGGAAGATTTTCACTAAAGCTTCCTGTAAAATATGTAAGCAAACCTTGTCTGCTAGATCTAATGCTGGTACTGGCCACTTAAAGAGGCATCAGAAATCTTATAGGTAGAAAACTGATCAACGTGCTAGGGTTCATTCTAGGCTTGCTTACAATCCTTATGGTTTTGTGCATAACTGGGACTATAAACCTGATGTTGCTAGATCTGAGTTGTGTTGCTTTATTGCTAGGCTTGATCTGCCGTTAGGTATTGGTGGGACAGAGGCTTGGGAAGAGTACATTGTTCGTGCTCATAACACTAGGTTTGTTAAGTTATCTAGACAGACCACCACTAGAGATCTTAGCAAGCTGTTTACTAAACATCGTAATATTCTTAAGAACTCTATGTTGTCTGCTGCTTCCTCTGTTGGTCTGGCATCAGACATTTGGTCTGATAATGCTAAGGAGGACTACACTAGTGTTGAGGCTAATTATGTGAGTGCTGATTGGAAGTTATAGAAAAAGGTAATTGGTCTTCGGTTGATTAAGGTGAAACATACTGGTGAAAATATTGTTGAAAGAGTTGCTTGTGTGGTTCAGGGGTTTGGTTTGATTAACAAGGTTTTTTCTGTAACTATAGACAATGTTTCTTTTAATGGTTAGGCTATGGAAACTTTGACACCTATGTTTGCTGGTTATTTGGGTTCTGATCCTGCACCTGATCCTTCATATCCTAATAAGCGTAAGTATAGTCTTGTACATTAACGTTGTGCTTGTCATATCATTAATCTGATTGTAAAATCTGGTTTAAAAAGGTTCAAACCTTACATAGAGGATTTTAGAACTGTTATTAGCTTCTTAAATTCTTCTAATCAAAGAATTGCTATGTTCAAAAACTACTGCACTACTCAGGGTGTTAGACCTAGAAAGTTTGACTTAGATATGGATGTTAGATAAAATGCTACATACCTTATGTTTAAACACTTGCTTTCATATAAGAATATTTTTTCTGTGTTCATTAATACTAATTATGGGTCAATATTGTTAACTGCAAGGCATTGGTATATTGCTGAAAAGATATTGAAGTTCATAGAAATTTTTTATGAATCCACTGTTGTTCTTTCTGGTGTTTACTATCCAACTAGTCCACTTAGGCCCTGTTCGCTTCGCTAAAAAAACAAGCCGAAACACTGTTCTAGCTGATTTGTTGTGAGAGAAAAATATTGTTCCGGCTGAAAAAATAAGCCGAAAAAGACAGATTATAAGAGAAGCGAACATGGCCTTATTCTGTACCATCTGCTAGACATTACTTGCCATTTGCATGCAAGTGAAAATGATCAAAATCCAATAGCTGTTGTATATCATATAAAGCTTAAATTCTTTAAATACTGATAGGATATACCTATGTTATATTCATTTGCATTCATTCTTGATCCAAGAGTTAAGTTAAGAGATTTATTTAATATTCTTTAAATACTTAAAGAGAACACTGGTTGTGACTACAATTCTTATTATGCTGATGTGAAAACTGAAATTTATAAGTTGTTTAATAAATATGAGAGAAAGTTTGGTGCAGCTAGGTCTCAAAGGGCTGCACAACCTGCAAGCCATACAGGTAAGAAAAAGCAGACATAGGGAAGAATCTTTGGAGGCCCTAGATCATCTGGTGTTGTTGATCCTTCGCCTGCCTCTGCCCTCACTCCATCTCTATCTGCTTCCTGCTGCTGCTTGTGAGCTCTCAGCTTATTTGGACAGTGACAATGTCCCTGCATATGAGGATGACTTTGATTTACTTCTCTAGTGACATGACCACAACCTAACATTTTTAGTACTTTCTATAATGGCTAGACATATTATGTCTGTTTTTGTTTCTATTGTCTCTTTAGAATCATGTTTAAGTTTGATAGGAAGGATAATTGAAGAGCGACGATGACGCTTGTTGCCTGAAACTGTGGAGATGCTGGCTTGCATAAAGGATTGGAAGTTAGGAGAAAAAAAAAGTTTGCAGCATGCTCTTGACAACCAAGAGCTGGAAGACACCTTCGACAATCTCTATCTTGATGAAGATGCATCTAGGGCTGCTTCTGCTGGCACATCTGGAGCTAGCACATCTACAGCTGTGGCTTCTACTGGTACTTAGTGTCTGTGTGAGACTTGAGAGTTGTGAGTGTGAGACTTGAGAGTGATTTCTTATCTGTATCTGAGGCATTTGAACAATGATTTAAGACTTAATTAAGAGCTGTGCTGCACTCTTTTTTTTCTTTCTAGATTTTTTCACAAGGGTGAGTTTTATCTAGAAAAGTTTTTAGTGAGGCAACATTACGCAAACAGCTCATTTATCTTTTAAATTCTTCTGTAGCTCTGTGTTAAGTGTTTGACAGTTCACATATTGTTGTTTTGTTTGAGTTGTGACTCGTGATTTGTGAATGAATGAGAGAATTCAATCTCTGTAACTTTTCTATGACAACAACTGTGAAATTTGACAAGTGTTTGAAAAGTGCATTTTTAGGTGTTTTGAGGTCCTCGGGCTGTGGGTTGGCACGGCCCGCAGTTTTGTTCAGGCTCAACGGGTCGGCACGGCACGAATTTTGGACCGTAGGACCGTGCTTGGGCTGAAAACCAGGCACAAGGCATGCAGAGGCACGGCCCGGGAGACACAGTGTGCCGTACCGGTCCGACACCCTGCGGGCCGTGTCGAGCCGGGCCCGCCTGATGGCCATCTATATACTTGTTGACAGGAGCGAGGACGATTTCGCATCCTGGCCGCCGGTGACGTCTGTGTGTGCATCAACATCACCGCCGGGCTGGTTGCAGGAATATTGTTTTTCTCTCACAACAAATCAGTCAGAACAGCGTTTCGGTTCGTTTTTTCTGCTAAGCGAACGGGCCAAAATGTTTTAAAAAAACTCGTATAAATAAAGAGGAGGGCACCATCGATCGGCTCCCCAGACCCAGAGGTGCTGTGCTGTGCAGGAGGAGATGGGGAAGGAGGCAGCCGCAGCGGAGTCGTCGTCGACGGTGGTGCTGGCCGTCAACGGCAAGCGGTACGAGGCGGCCGGCGTGGCCCCGTCGTCGTCGCTGCTGGAGTTCCTGCGCACCCAAACGCCCGTCAGGGTCCCCAAGCTCGGCTGCGGCGAAGGTATGTACGTCGGTACGACGTGGTCCTTGATTGCCGGGGCAGATCTTGTGTACGCGTGCTTCGTTTCTTACTGCCTGTATTTTCGTAAAATAAATAAATACTATCACCTGGGGAAAAAACGAAGAAAGACCCACCGTTTCCGTTTGTCCCTAAAATGGATGTATGTAAAGAAATCAACGAGTTATATCTAGTCGCCAAAAAAATAGAGTTATATCTAAAAGAAGTTTTGTATATTTTTTAGAATTCTAAGAAGTTTTGTATATAAACTCTTTTCTCTTGCTCTTCTCAAGTTAAGATTAAAAAAAAGTTATATCTAATTAAAGCCTTGCATCTGTTCAGATTTCAGAAAAACATGAAACAACCAAGGCGTTTTGTGATACCTTTCTATTGGGGTAAAATTTACAAACTACACTACGATCATAGGAACTATATATAACAAAACCACACTTTTAGTTCTTTTTTACGATAAAGTATATTTTTCAATCTCGAGCATGTACCGACACCTTACAAAACCAAACACATTAGGGCGCTTCACCAAAGCTCCACGCTAGCTTAGAACGTCGCAGAGCCAAATCAGATTCCAAAAGGAGAAGAGAGGAAGCAAAACAGTAGTTTTAAATAGTGTTGAGTTACTTCTGCAAGCTGCGGTGGCTTAGACATGTATGTGAGATCACATGGCCAAAAAAAGCAGCTCACCTCTAGACCCATGAAACTACTGCATTAGATGAGTAGTGTTGGCTTTAGTTTGTCCATGCCTAGCTGGAATACTACTTTTTTTTAGAAGCCAACATCATTAGCGCTATGCATTGGCCCTGAGCACCTTGAGCAGTCTATCAATACCATTCATCGTCCCTATAAAACTATCATATTAGACGAGATGGGTTTTTTTCCCTTGCTCCATCAGCCCCCAAATAGCTCTCTCTTTTTACGGTGGCCACCAATATCTCTCTCATTTCCGTTAAAGAAAGGGGAAGTTGCATCTCCTCCAATATGCTAGGGTCCATCTAGCTGTCACTCTACTCCCCCTCTATTGTAGTTGTCACTGGTACATGCACTCGAATTCTTTGTTGCGGACGATACTATGGAAGAGGTCGAGCTCACGAAGGTCGAGGAACACAGGCCAGTGCGCTACGGTCATCCTTGGGAAGTTCTGTTCGCCGAGGTAGAGGTGTCGAGGGAGGCGCAATGGAGGATGTCATCGGGGAGCAGCATGTCGAATGGCCACTGGCCGTTGATGAGGGTGAGGTCTGCACCAAGTGTCGAAGAGCGTACTCGTGCGTGTAGAAGGATATGCAGGTAACACGCACGCCGCAGATGGGCATGGGGTGTGCGTCCACGACACGACGGAGACGTCAATCGTCGAAGGTGTCCGGGGCAGGGACCAAGCTACATATGCACATGTAGGTGCATATGCCCCGTCCCTCAAAATACCAATTTAGTGAGAAAGTCTAATTTTGTTACCATATATGATGCATCTTCTATGGCCGAATGCACATCCCTTTAATTTATTCTATCTCCGCCACTAGTCGGGGGGTTTGTTTGGAGAAGCGATCGTTGTGGGGGTCAGGCTCTACCTCGGGGACTGGAACGTAGAGGGCGAGCAGGAGGGACACGATGAAGAGGGCGATGTAGGGAGGCGAGCGAGCAATAGTGGTGATATGAACTCTAGTAGAGGCCAGAGGCGATGTGGCATGAGGATCTGACTGTGCGAGGGGAAGAAGAGAAAGAAGAAAGACAATTGATTTTATTTGAGGAAAGATAATTGGTGATATTTTGAAAAATCTCCCCAAATAATTCTAAAAATAATTTTGGACTTCATATCAGTTTATTAAGAGAGTTGTACTGGAAAGCTCCTAGAGCAACCTCATTCTACCCATGTTTCAAGTTAACTTAGGTAGCATTTGGTTATCATGTTTGGTTTCTGGGACTGGACACGTCCATTTTCTGTTTTGTTGAGGAGGGACTCACCAACCCATTTTCTATTTGGCTTAGGGACACTAAAAAGTAGATGAGACAATGACATACGGGACCCAACTATTAGATTTTTTTTTCTTTTCTTTTCTTTTCCTTCTTCCTCTCCTTATCTTCTCCTCTAGTCTCCCCACCGCCGCCACCGGTTGTGCCTTCGTCGTCCGCAACTCCGCCGGGAGAGCCATCACCATCGCCCGAGGTTCGGCCCTCCACCCGCCACCCCCACATTGCTGCCCAAGGCCATCTGCCTCCTGCGCTGCTGCTCAGACATGCGTCGTCGCCCGATGCCGTCCGCTGCGCCACTCATAGCCCTTGGTCGGTACGGGCCGACATGCTTGCGGCTGGTAGCCAGTGCTCGTAGCCCGCACGACCCTCTTCTTCCTCGTTGATGCCAATCCACACCGACGCGTCCGTGCCCACGCTCTCGTCCCACCTGGAATGACCCTGTCCGCCAGTTTTTGGATAGAGTCGCCCCGCATCTAAGAGAATATTCACTAGTGGGATATCCTTGATTCTGTCTTATCTCTGAACCAAACAGCACTAGAGAATTAGGTCCGTCTCGTTCCGTTCTATCTTGTCCTTCCAACCAAAGACTACCTTAGAGCATCTCCAACCATCTTTCCAAAGTTTATTATCTAAATCATCACTTGGTGAGTCATTTGAGTAAAAATCGTTTTCTATATCTTTATATCCCTAACTGTTTTTCTATATCTCGTGGACACTTTTGAGAATCATTCTTCTCTTTATCTTTGGCTAACAAGAAATCAGAAATAAAAGATACCTATATTTGGAGATTCAATTAAAAGGTGTCAGAGGATATTTTTTCGTCAAATTACAAATCGCTTGCTAAATCCGTTCAGCCTTTTTTGTTAAAAAAAACTTAGCTGTCTAGTGTGGCACCGCTTCCCACGTCAGCATCCTAGGGCTCAAAGGCCTCAACGCACACCCGAGTACCCGACGTCATCCCACTTTCGCCTCTGTTGCTGCTGCCGCCCCGTTCTCCCATCGTTTGCTTGTCGCTCGCCCTTTCGCTTGCTCAAGAAGCATCCGTGCCGCCGCCAGGCTCCCCCTCTCCGAACGCCGCCACCGGGCTCCTCCTTCCTGCGCGCCGCCGCTAAGCTCTGCTTGTGCTGGATCTCTGAATCCATGCCGACTCCGCGCTCCTTTGCCACCACCGGTCTCCTCTCCACGTGTGGCCGCTGACTCCTCTCCGCGACGCAGGCGAGATCCCGGGACTCCGCTACCAGGCTCCTCGTTCCACGCCAGCGGCCGTCCCCCTCCTCGCCCCCACCCCACCTCCTCCCAAACAGTACGCTTCGACTTCCTTCGCTTCGCAAGCTAGCTTTTGAAGGAAACGACCTCCGAATCGAAGCGTGCACAGTTTAAGATGTCCCAAACAGGACCCAAGTCAGCCTGAAACCTAGGTGGAATGGGGACAGGGGAGGGGGAAGGGGTTTAACGTGTTTTGTTTTTGTAAAGTTGACATGTTCGAGTGTGTGCTTCTGTAGTTCAGTAGTTGGATGTCTAATTGCATGCTCCAATGCAAGTTGGAGGTTGAAAATGTGCGTTATCCCTCTTTTAATATAATCATCACCTATCCTCCCCCACAAAATGAAACATCTGTGCTCATTTCATACGACAAAACTACATTTTTTATGGCTTAAATAAAAGTGTGAAAATGTGTTGTTTTATCATACTCATACAGAATACAAAAAAGGTAGTTTTGTAACAAGGAATGTAAATATATAAGTGTAGTTACGCAGAATTAATTGATCACAGTGTACTTCCATGATAAAGTATGTGAATATAAGTGTAGTTTTGTAAAACTAAATCTTGAAAGTAATAGGTTTAGGCGTTTAGCCACCCAGATTCACGTTCTCTTAAACTTGAATGCAACTCGAATTTAGATGTCTATTCAGTACCACATAGATTATTTATTTTATGCTTGGTCGGGTTATTTTAAGGATGCACACCTATGGCTCACCTCTTTGCCCTACTCTTGGACTCTTACAATTTTATACTGTGGCAGGTGGCTGTGGTGCATGCGTCATCCTTGTATCCAGGTATGACCCGGCCACTGATGAGGTAACCGAGTACTCGGCGAGCTCCTGCCTGACGCTGCTCCAGAGCGTGGACCGTTGCTCGGTGACCACCGGTGAGGGCATAGGCAACACTAAGGATGGCTACCACCCAGTGCAGCAGCGCCTGGCTGGCTTCCACGCCTCTCAGCGTGGCTTCTGCACGCCCAGCATGTGCATGTCCATCTTCTCCGCTCTCGCCAAGGCCGACAAGGCAGCCGGCCGCCACGACCCTCCTACAGGCTTCTCCAAGCTGACCGTCTGTGAACGGTATAACCCTGATACCCACGAGACCATACATGGGCCGAGTCCCTAGGAGAGGCCTAGCCCAAAAGACCGCGCATGAGTCGCGCCACTAGTCGAGGCCTAGCTTAAAAGACGACGCCACGTGAAGCACGACACAGGTCGGCATGCCTCGCAAGATTGCATGAAGATCCTCAGTGACCTAGGAAACCTGCCCAGATATGATAGATCCCGTAATATCTGTAACTTCCTATCTTGTAAACCGATTAGGATAGAAACAATCGATCTGTAACTCTACCCCTCGGGCTATATAAGGCGGGTAGGGACCCCCACATTTTCATCGAATCATACGCAATACAATCCACAAAGACACAGGACGTAGGGTATTACGTCAAGCCCGAACCTGTCTAATCGCTGTCTCTTGCGTTCTGTGTCACCGTCTAGTTTCCTCACGCACACCTCCACTGATTCATCTACTACCATGGACATACCCCTCGGTAAACTGTTGGTCGTATTTCGTCGACAGTGGTGCGCCAGGTAGGGGATATGCGTGCTGATTCTATGGCGAACTAGATGTGAATCTTTTCTTAAACCAACATCGCCGACAACTCGGCATTCGGCAGCAACTCGACGTTGGCACGCAGCGGATTGCTTTCCTCGACGAACGGCCACACATGCTGGAGTCCGATGCCTTGCCATATGTCTCCAACAGACGCAACACGCGACAATCAGCCTGTTCGTTGGTTGGTTTCTGGCCGGATAAGCCCGGTTGGTGCTGATTTATTGTGAGAGAAAAACACTGTACCATGGCTGATCAGCCCTGGCTGAAACCAACAAGCGAACATGCTGAATAAGATCGGAGTCAAACAATCTAAGAAAGCTAAGTCAAGTCGCTTTCTAATTAAATATTGTTATTATACTTCCACATATATCCGTATGTCTGCATGATTTCGGTTGGGAGAAACCTAATTGCATCTTGCTCGTGATTTCTGATCGGATACGTAAGATTGTTTCCGTGGATCACGACAACCAACAATCAGGAAAGGCAGCCGGTGATAACGCGATGTGGAGAAGTGTTTCCACCAAAGATGTTGATCGGCCGTACAAGCTAATTGGAGTAGTTGAAGAGATATACAAGCACATATGCATTTTGATCAACACCACCATGCAAGCAACCTCAGGTATCTCAGGCATGCAAGGAAGATCTTGGACTGTGCCCTTGCCTCGGTCAGACACGCTCAAAGGCTTCGCCTCCCCATGCGGATTGACTCCGTCAGGCTTCGATTACACCCGGTCGCCTACGACTCCGCGTACCCGTTCAAGCTGTCAAGCGAGCCATCCAAATCACACTCATCTACTCGGACATCATGACTCGCTGGCTCTTCTACTCCACTCGGCGTTAATCAAGCTAAGTCACGCTTTAATATTCTTCTAAATATTCTCTAACCTTCGTACGTCTCCGATATCGCTCCATGCTATTTTCTCCATAATTATTCTCCAAATGATTTTTTTCTCTACGTATACCATCTTAAAGATGACACACACTTTCGACTCAATAAATCCCCGAACAGTCATGTTGACGCTCGAATGTCCCAGAGACGGCCCTGTATCCGGCTTCTCCCTTCACGTGCACGAGCGTCTGCCCTCTACATTATGGGTGGTCGGCAGTGGCTCCTTGGCGACGCTTTGTTCTTCCTACATGTGCCCGGCCTCCGGCCTCCGCGCTCTGCGTTATGGTTAACGGTCTAGCCAAGATTAGAGACTCAGCTACAAACTAATTGTTCGGACGGTTTATATTAAATATAAACACTTCATCAAAAAATGAACATAATATTCATCTACAATTGATCGCCGAGCTGCATACGCTATTTCATCACTGCGGATTTTCCTTCGGGTTTCATATATTTTATTTTTACATCATGAACTACCCATTCTACATATTTTTATTTTAGTCAACTTATGCTTGGACGCGTCCAGAGACAACCCTGTCTCCGACTTCTTCCTGCACATGCATGAGCGTCCTCCCTCTGCGTCATGGGTGGTCGGCAGCGGTTCCTTAGCGACGCCCTATTCTTCCCACACGCATACGGCCCCTGCGCCTCACGTTACGGTTAACAGGCTAGCTAGGGCTAGAGACTCAGCTATACATTACTGATCGGATGGTTTATATCAAATATAAACACAAACACACCATAACAACAAGCGTTCAACATAAGTTGCTTTTGTACAATGATTCAACATGAGTTTCTTCTAAAATCTACGGAGCACCGCTCCCCCCTTCGCCGAATAGGTCGACGTCACTGGCTAATTTCTTCCCTAGCTCTTCGGCTTCGTCTTCTAGTTTGGCGATCTTGGCTGCATTCGTCCCCCAAGCATAGCCGGTTACCACCCGCTCGAGATCTACCAAGGGGTAGTGTGACCGCAGCATGACTAGCGCGTGGATGACGTCCCTGAAAGCATCTAGGCCCCTAGTTGGGTTTTGGCGATTAATAACGACACAAGATTACTGTGACTAACGTGTGTTTTACAGAGGCAACTTGAGTTAGATCATGGTAATGGTGATTGATTGGACAATTATGGTTTTCATGCCCCTGTCGATGGGAATTGCTTTGGTTTTCAAAGGATGGACGACAAGGTTAAGGACGGACTAGTTCTAAGTGTCGTTTGGCGTTAAAGAGACACTTAGAATAGTTTAGGACTTTGTTTCTTTTCCTTTGGCCATACTATTAAGGGGGTATGAACTAGTAGCTTGACCTAGATGAGTCTAATGGTTTAGGTGTGGTGCACACTTGTCAAACTTAGCACTAGGTAGCTCAAGGACAGCCCATAGATCAGTTTAAGTCAATGTCGTTCACAAAGTTGGTAAAATTTAAGGTGAATGGAGACTTGGATGATGACCAGATGCTGGACCGGACGCACAGGTGCCGTGTCCGGTTAGTGTTAGCTCACACAGCTAGGGTGTGTTCATTGATCGAATGCTGGACCAAACTCACAGATGCCGCGTTCGGTCAGTATTAGCTCGCGTTGCTAGGGTTTGCTTTTTGACCGGATGCTGAGGACGTTTTGACCTGATGCACTAGAGGTAGCGTCCGATCAACTACAGTAAGCATCCAGAGAAGGAAATTTTTTGACAGGACGCGTCTGATGGGTGGCGACCGGACGCTAGTCAGAGTCCGGTCTCTGATAACTGAGCTGGCGTCATGTAGCCGTTGGCCAGTGACCGGATGCGTCCGGTCACTTTGACCTGAGCGTCCAGTCACCCCGAAATATGTTGAGTTGGACCCCAATGAGTATATTTTTTGAAGTGGGGAGTATAAATACCTCTCCTACTCATCCAACTTAGCACTCTTGCCCATATATTTAGCTGAGAAACACCTTTGGAGTGCAAGAGAGAGCAAGAACCTAGTGGGGTGATTGAGATTTGATAATTCAAGATTATGAACCTTATTAGTGCATAGGGAGTAGCAAGTGTGCATCCATCCTTCTCATTAGGCTTGTCTTGGTCAAGTGAGAGCTTGTGCTTGTTACTCTTGGTGATCACCATCACCTAGATGGCTTGGTGGTGATTGGAAACTTGGTGATTATCCGGCGGAGCTTGGATGGCCCAAGTCATGGTGTGAGCGGTTGTGGGCGATTCACCATGATAGAGTGTCAAAGAATCAGCCCATAGAGAACACTTGATCCTTGCGCGGATCAAGGGGGAGCTACACCCTTGTGCGGGTGCTCCAACGAGGACTAGTGGGGAGTGACAATTCTCTAATACATCGAAAAAACATCGACGCGTTTTTCTTCCTCTCTTTACTTTGAGCATTTACATTGGAGCAATTCAATTCATGTCTCTATATTCGTAGAATTGCCATGCTAGAGTAGGATTCGAACCTAGGGTGTAAATCTCTTGTGCGATAGAATAATAGAAACACTTCTAAGCACAAGGGGGTGAAATGGACTAAGTGTAGGGGTTAATTATTGTAGGAAATTTAGAATTAGCCCAATTTAGTCCCCTCTTGGGCATCTTGATCCTTTTCAGGCCCCATGGGCAGCACTGCATGTGAACTCCTTCAAGTCTACCCATGCCATCTGGCAACGGTCGACGATTGACCGATGCGGCAAGTCACCAGACAGCCGTGACGATGCCTCAGGTGGTTCAAAGCCAACGCAGTCAAGCACGGGTTTGATCCCCACAATTATCGCCTCCAGGTTGTCATCCCGAACCTTCACCTGATCACCCAACACCTAGAATTGCGCGTGCGCCTGGTATCGGTATTCTGCAATACACCAACATCAACAGACTGAGTACGCTCCTATTAACGCCATGAACCAAAATAAAGAAAAGGTGCACTTACGTTCAAGATCTGCGATGGCCTTCTCGGTCTTCTCCTCTGCTGCCTCCTTCCCCATAATGAGTCGCCTGACATTCTTGCGGGAAAGGCCGAGCCCCATCTCCAGCGCTGTACGTCACAGTCAGACATCTTAAAACGCTGAGCACCAACAAAGCAAGACCCAGAGTCATACCTTTCTACTGGTCACCACTATGGCCGAGATGTTCCCTCAGTGATTGGCTCTCTGCCTCCAGCAGTTGCTTCTCCTTGTCCAGCGCCAGCACCTTCACCTCTAAGTCCCCCTTACGATGGCGCTCTTGGGTGAGGCGCACCTAGAGGTCGGTCATCGATGCCTGGAGCTCTTTGTTCTCCTCCAGCACCGGGGCCATCTCTTCTAACTGATGTCGGCGCTGTTCAAACACTTTCATTACATTCTGCAAAAGCACAAGGGTCAAGCGTCGCGTCTAACGAAGGAATGAAACACAAAATCTCCTGTGGCTTACCTCGATCCGGCCGATCATCGCTGATAGGTCAACCTTAAGCCTCTTTATCTCAGTGCTTGCCTCCCCCTCCTCCAGCATTTCAAACTCATCGCCGCGCCGGATAAATGTACGAAGGAGCTAGGGGGGCTGAGCGGGCTCTCGCTCAATTTCTTCGATCTTTTCAATAGCTCCCTGAGGAGGTGATCTCCTCGGTCGCCACCGCGTTCTTACAGGGCGTTCAAGCCCCACCTCTGCTGTCGCCCCCATTACGGATGTCACTAGCTCAGCAACCGTGGGTGGGTTCTACGTCGCGCCGCTCGGCGCCCCCCCGCGGTCTCCGCTCCTGCTTGGGCGGCCTCTCCAGACGCTGTCATCGCAGTCCACGCTTCCTCAGCGCATGGATCGCCTTCATCATGTGCCCCACCGCTAGGAGAGGTTGCCCCGATGACTGGTGGCTCCTCGATGACAGGAGCAGTTGGCACTGAAGCCGTTAGCCCCCGCTCGGTGGGAATGGTCGGACCACCCCCCGTTCCCTCAAGCGGTGCGGTAGGAGCTTCTTGTCCTGGCGCTTGCTGCCTATCATTGATGGCCGACAACTGCAGATTTTTAGTTGCCTCTGCGCTACCGCAAAGAAACAACTCGTCAAAATCAAGACAACATACTGACAGAATACCACAAATGATGAAGTAACTTACAATTGGGACTCCCACCGTGCGGTCCTAAACCGGCGTGCCCTCCCCAAGCCCCCCTGACCCGTGGCAGAGCCGCCTGGCACGTACGCTGTCTTCGGGTTTCCCATCTTCGCTGCCGCCAGCGTCGCCACTCGGGTAGGGTCGGGGGCCGTGGTTGGAGCCTCTCGCGCCCTCTCGAGGACTTGCCCGCCGGCCCCAGTCACTGTCGTCGTGGTCCTTCGGGCATTCTCGGGGACTACCACTGCTGCATCCCGAGCTCGTCGCCTCTCCCATATCTCCGCCATGGCTGGGGCTGACGGTCGAGGTCTCGCCACGCTTGGAGGTGCCTGAGCGGCCTACTCATCTTCAGAGGAAGTGTCCGACAGAACTACTTGTGGCCTTTGAGGCTGATTTGAGGCCCCAATGTTCACCGGGCCCTCCTCACCTCGAGAAGGCCTAGATGTTTTTATCCGCCTCGCGGACGGCCCCTCGTTAGTCGGTCGCTTCCCGCGAAGCTTTTCACTGACATACTCCGTCCGCGTGTCATTATCTCTAGCTTCTTGGCTCTTCGAGCCCTCCTCATCCGCAGCAGTGCTCGGCCAATGCTGGGGACTGCTCGGCCGAGCGTCTACAGCCCTTGGCTACTCCTCTAATGGAATTGCCAAAAAGTAAACCGCTCGGTCCTGTCCATGAATCTTCAACAACACAAATGAATACATTGCAAAAAGTAGGGACAATCAAGCAAAACACCACAGAAAAGCCTCTCACCGTCGGGGGGAGATTTTCGACGCTGAAGGCCCATTGCTGATCTCTGATGGACACCTGATCCGTGAGATTGAACAACATCCCGATCCGTTGCATGACTTCATCTCGGGCAATTTCCTCAGGCACCTCGCGGGTCCCATCAGTATCTTCCTGGTACTCAAACGTCGGGTGCGCCCTCTCCTTACAAGTCTGGATCTGGCGGAACATGAAATTTGTCGCCACAACCACTCCGTCAAACCTTCTACGATCAATCAACCGTAGAAGCTCCCTTACTTGCTCCATTCCGTTCGGGACGGGCCTCTCTGACCACCTTGTGTTCGCCACTGGCGCCTGATCAACGTCGCACTGGACATATGGTTCCACCTGCCTAATGTAGAACCATCTGCATGCCCATTACTTTACATTCGTGTTAAGCGGGATGGCGATATACTGACTCACCATCCCATCCCGTAGCTGCAGATAAGCACTGCCGACTACCTTGGATCCAGCTCCCCCAGCATCTTGAGACAGAAGAAATGGTGGAATAAATCGAAGTGGAGCAAGATCCCCAGATATGCCCCACAAAGGTTGATGAAAACAACAACATGAAGGATGAAATTCGGACTAAGGTTGCAGAGACTGATGCCATAGTGGTCAATCAGCCTGCGGAGAAAAGGATGAATTGGGACCCCGAATCCACGGAATGGAGCGTGGGGAAATTCTCACCAACCGCCGGGTGCCATCCCGCTGCCACCCTATCTGGCAGAATCCCGAGCACCACCAAGTTGTTGAGTGCCCTCTCATCACTGACGAACTGCATCCACTCCTCGGTGCAGTTAATCTCGTGCGGCGCCTGCCTCGAGCTGCTGCGATTCCTCTTCGGCGCCATTAAGCAGATCTGGAGATGGTGGTTGCTCGCTGCTTAGATCTATTCCAGTGGGGGAGCGGTGGCAGACGGGAAGGTATATGTGCGCAAGAGTGTGAGAAAGACGATGTGGCGTGCGGGAAATGGGGAGTGTGCCTCGGAGCTACGGCGAACTTATAACGGATCGACCCCTGACCCTTCGCCTTCTAGGGTTTTTGGGAAACCGCACCCGCCGTGTCGCGTTCCCTCCGAGTTCTCCGCGCGTCATTGGGCCGTTAACTGGGCTTTTCGTATCCGTATGCGAAACTTCATTTTGCGCACACCACAAAGGCAAAATGTGTGCCAAGCGGTATTTCGATGGACTTTTTGGATTTTCATGACAAGATATTTCTTCTGACCCTGCTACAAGATTTCTCCTCAATCTTCCAGCAGGCTCGGGGACTAAGTGTGTACACTTCACCTTACGATGAATGTACTGATTTCCTGGTCGCTTGAGTATTCGGCAATGCCGGGGACTGGTTGCTTTCTCAGCTATGCTGAGGACTACATATTTTTCTTTGATCCTGTTACAAGATTCCTTCGTCATCTTCAGCAGGCTCGGGGACCACATTGTGTATAATGCACCTCACGGTGCACGTACTATTTCTTCTTCACGGCATTGCGACTTCGTCAAGTCTGTCATTTAGTGCCTCTACTCTGCCCTAATGACCACGTCGTCAGAGCCATTGCAATTGGCACTTAAGTGTGTACACTTCATCGACCAAGACTTCAATTTTTTTTTACTTGAGCTCCTTACATCCTACAGACAAAACTTGACTTCACGTGAGCTTGAGTTTGGCTCCCAGTTGAGATACTTGGACATCTGTTTCTACAGTTCGGACGCCGTGTTCAACAGCTCGGACGACGTATTCAACAGCTCGGACGCTTGTTTCAACAGTTCGGCTCCTAGTTAAACTGGTCAGACGTCTGCTCTTGATGACCGGCGACTAGCTGAATTGCTCGGACAAGCTCAAGACGATGTTGTCCAGCGGATCCAAGACGCTTAGAGACTAGTTGTGGGGGTATAACCCCCGATACCCACAGGACCGTACATGAGCCGAGCCGCTAGGGGAGGCCTAGCCCACAAGACCGCCATGAGTCGCACCACTAATCGAGGCCCAGCTTACAAGACGACGCCGCGTGGAGCACGACATAGGTCGGCATGCCTTACAAGACTGCGTGAAGATCCTCGATGATTTAGGAAACCTACTCAGATATGGTAGATCCCGTAATATCTGTAACTTCCTATCTTGTAGACCGATTAGGATAGAAACAACTGATCTGTAACTCTACCCTCGGGCTATATAAGACGGGTAGAGACCCCCTATATTTTCATCGAATCATACGTAATACAATCCACGAAGACACATGACGTAGGGTATTACGTCAAACCGACGGCCCGAACTTGTCTAATCGTTATCTCTTACATTCTGTGTCACCATCCAATTTCCTCATGGGTACCTCCGTCGATTCATTTACTGCTATGGATATATCTCGATAAACTGCCGGTCATATTTCGTTGACGGCCTCCGAGGCCGAGAGGGCTGTCTCGGGCAACCTGTGCCCATGCACCGGATACAGGCCCATCATCGAGGCCTGCAAGAGCTTCGCGGCTGACGTCGACCTCGATGACCTGGGCCTCAACTGTTTCTGGAAGAAAGGCCATGAGCCTGCAGAATTCAGCCAACTACCGGGCTACAACAGAGGCAGCGTCTGCACCTTCCCCGAGTTCCTCAAATCAGAGATCGAGTCTTCTCTAGAGCAGGTGAATGGTGCTCTGGTTGCAGTCTCCAACGATGGCTGGTACCATCCTAAGAGCATCCAAGAGCTTTACAATCTGTTTGATTCCAATTGGTATGATGAAAATTCTGTGAAGATCGTGGCTTCAAACACTGGGTCTGGAGTGTACAAGGATCAAGACCTATATGAAAAGTACATTAACATCAAAGGAATCCCAGAGCTTTCAGTCATCAACAGAAGCAGCAAGGGGGTTGAGCTTGGATCAGTTGTGTCCATCTCTAAAGCCATTGAGGTGTTGTCAGATGGAAACCGTCTCTTCAAAAAGATTGCAGATCACCTGAACAAAGTAGCTTCACCATTCATTCGGAACACTGCAACCATAGGGGGAAACATAATCATGGCACAGAGGTTGCCTTTTGCATCAGACATATCAACCGTACTACTAGCTACAGGTTCGACGGTCACCATCCAGGTGGCTTCCAAAAGGCTATGCCTCACTTTGGAGTTCTTGGAGCAGCCTCCATGTGATTCTAGAACTCTGCTGATAAGCATATTCATCCCATATTGGGGTTCAGATGGAGATGGTATCACCTTTGAGACATTCCGAGCAGCACCTCGCCCATTTGGCAATGCCAATGCCGTCTCATATGTCAATTCTGCTTTCTTAGCAAAGACTTCAGAGGATGCAGCATCAGGTGACAATCTCATTGAGGACATGTGCTTAGCGTTTGGCGCTTAAGGAGTTGATCATGCCATCAGAGCCAGGAAGGTTGAGGATTTTCTAAAGGGGAAAGCAGCGAGCTCGTTTGTTATACTTGAAGCCGTTCGACTGCTTAAAGAGTCTATTTCACCATCAGAAGGGACAACACATCCTGAATACAGGATCAGTTTGGCTGTCAGTTTCTTGTTCACCTTCTTGTCTCCCCTAGTGAAGGCTGATACTCCCAATGGGCCATATACAAATGGCAGCTCTAAGTATTCATTTCAGGATCAAGCTAAGGTTGACATCAATGATTTACCAATATGTTCAAGACAAGAAATGGTTTTCACTGACGACAAATACAAACCAGTTGGCAAGCCGATCAAGAAAGACGGGGTAGAGCTACAAGCTTCTGGTATACACCTTTATTCCAAGAGACTTTTATGGTCCATCAAGTTACCAAGCGATGCCTACCAATTTTTGGAATCTGAGGTACCATTTGATGGATCCTAAAAAGGCTCTTATTCTAATGTCCAAATCCAATTGATCTATCAACTTACATTTGATTTCTTAATATGCTTGTTGTAAAGTCTATCATCCTCATAGCACAAAATTACACTCAGATGGTCCTTTTTATTTACTCTTGCTACAATAGTTTGGTTAGAGTTGAACCATCAAATAAGATCCATCCTTGTGTATTTTGTTCTCACATTTACTATAGTTTCCCTTGAAAACCGCTCTAACCATATCCTGTTTTACTTACACAGGGGAGGCTGTGTACGTTGATGATATCCCTGCCCCCAAGGATTGCTTCTATGGAGCATTTATCTATAGCACACACCCTCATGCTCATGTAAAGAGTATCAACTTCAAATCATCTTTAGCTTCAAAGAAGGTCGTCACAGTTATCACTGCAAAGGATATTCCAAGCAGTGGGAAAAATGTTGGAAGCTGCTTCATGATGCTAGGAGACGAAGCACTTTTTGCTGATCCAGTTGCTAAATTTGCTGGTCAGAAAATTGGTGTCGTGGTAATATTTCTTGAGTGTTCTTCATAAAAATCAGTAACTTGTTTTTTTAAAAGGAAATCTCATAGTTTCATGTTGCTCTTCTATTTCTCAGATTGCAGAAACACAGAGGTACGCCTATATGGCAGCAAAGCAAGCTGTTATTGAGTACAGCACAGAAAATCTTCGGCCACCAATTCTGTCAATAGAAGATGCCATCAAACATAACAGCCTCTTCCACACTCCTCAATTTTTTGCACATAAGCTACAGCCAGTTGGTGATTACAACCAAGGGATGTCTGAAGCTGACCATAAGATTTTATCAGCAGAGGTACCAAGTACTTTGTTTTGTTCATGACGATATAAACCTGATTTTCAGCCAGGCTAAACACTCACACCTAGTCTTTTTTGTTGTTGTTTCCACAGGTAAAACTTGAGTCCCAGTACTATTTCTACATGGAAACACAAGTGGCACTAGCTATTCCTCGTCACAATCTCCTTAGCTCACACAAAGTGTGATTGCAAGGTGCCTTGGCATTCCTTTCCATAATGTCCGTGTGATCACTAAAAGAGTCGGAGGAGGCTTTGGCGGAAAGGGAATGAAAGGAATGCATGTAAGTGCAGACCGCTAACTAGAGCATTTATTTACTTTCTAAACACTTCCAATATTAATTACCAATGTATTCTCAACTGAAGTTTGTAATCTTTGTCAGATCGCATGTGCGTGTGCCGTTGCCGCATTCAAGCTCCAACGTCCTGTTAGGATATACCTGGATCGTAAGACAGACATGATAATCGGCCTGTTCGCTGGTTGGTTTCTGGACTGATAAGCCCGACTGGTGCTGGTTTGTTGTGAGAGAAAAATACTATACCATGGCTGATAAGCTCTGGAAACAAACAAGCGAACAGTCTGAATGGCTGGAGGGCGGCATCCAATGAAGGCGAAGTACTCTGTCGGGTTCAAGTCAAACGGCAAGATCACAGCCTTGCACCTGGATCTTGGGATCAATGCTGGAATATCCCCGGATTTGAGTCCAGTGTTGCCGTTCGCCATCATAGGGGCTCTCAAAAAGTACAACTGGGGCTCTCTTGAATTCGATACCAAGATCTGCAAGACAAACGTGTCCTCGAAGTCTGCAATGCGAGCTCCTGGAGATGTGCAAGGCTCTTTCATCGCTGAAGCTATCATGGAGCATGTTGCCTCAGCGCTCTCGGTAGACACCAACACCGTCAGGAGGAAGAACCTCCATGACTTTGAGAGCCTCGTGTTGTTCTACGGAGAAAGTGCAGGTGAAGCTTCCACGTACAGCCTGGTGTCCATGTTCGATAAGTTGGCCTTGTCTCCAGACTATCAGCTCAGAGCTGCAACGATTGAGCAGTTCAACAGGAGCAACAGGTGGAAGAAACGAGGCATTTCTTGTGTGCCAATCACGTACGAGGTGGGCCTCCGCCCAACTCCTGGGAAGGTGTCCATCATGAACGATGGCTCAATTGTCGTCGAGGTGGGAGGAATCGAGATAGGCCAAGGGCTGTGGACTAAAGTTAAGCAGATGACGGCGTTTGGATTGGGACAGCTTTGTCGTGACGGCGGCGAATGCCTTCTGGACAAGGTGCGGGTTATCCAGGCCGACACATTGAGCATAGCATGGGGGGGGGGGGGGGGGGGGGAGAACACAACTTCTGAAACTATCTGCGCAGCGGTTGGGCAATCATGTGCCGCACTCAACTTCTGAAACTAGCTGCGCAGCGGTTGGGCAATCATGTGCCGCACTCGTCGAGAGGCTGAAGCCTATCAAGGAGAGACTAGAGGCCGCTAAGGGCAACACATTGGAGTGGGGTGACTTAATTGCTCAGGTGAGGATAAGCCTTATTAGAACTCTGTTTGTAGATGGTAATCATTGAACATATACTCCTATCAAGAGTGACAATGTTTTTTTTTTTTGGCCCTCCCTAATTTCTATCATCAGTATACTGCAAACTGCAATCAGTAGTAGTAGAAAGTTTAGTTCCAAATAGTCGTTCCAGGAATTCAGTACTTAAGAGTTTCTAATGTTCGTGGGATCTGTTCCTCATTTGCAGGCAAGTATGGTCAATGTGAACTTGTCAGCACATGCCTACTGGACTCCTGATGCAACTTTCACTAGCTACTTGAACTATGGAGCTGCCATCAGTGAGGTACACCTTTTCCAAATTACTATACTAACAGTGCAAATTACTATACTAGTCGTGTTCAAAAAAAATTTACTATACTAGCAGGATGCAACTGCCAAGCCAAATTGTTGGAGGCTGCAGCTTCGATTCTTCTCAAAGCTGACATGTATGTGACTGGAACTCTGCCAATGAACATCGCAGGTGGAAGTTGATGTCCTGACAGGAGCAACCACAATTCTACGGAGTGACCTGGTGTACGACTGTGGGCAGAGCTTGAATCCTGCCGTCGACTTGGGCCAGGTAGGTTATCGCCAAAGGTGAAGAAAAACTGTTTCTGCAGACCATTCCATCAACATAAACGTGCTGCTCCTCTGAACACTTTTCACGATCGACCCAGATCGAAGGCTCATTCGTCCAAGGAGTGGGCTTCTTCACCAACGAGGAGTACACGACGAACTCAGACGGCTTGGTCATCCACGATGGCACATGGACATACGAGATCCCCAGTGGACACCATCCCAAAGCAGTTCAACGTCGAGATGTTCAACAGCGCTCCTTATCAGAAGCGCGTCCTGTCTTCAAAAGGTGAGTGCCTCTCTTTCTCTCTCTCTCTGCACAATGTTTGGTCCTCATTCCAAATCCTAGCAGACTTTCTCAGCTTTCTTGGTAACTGAAAGCACCGCACTGGCTGCTGCCCGAAACTGAAACCCTGACATGGTGTGCTGTGGATTGAACCATTTTTTCTGTTGCAGGGGCGGGCGAGCCACCGCTGGTTCTTGCATGCTCGGTGCACTGCGCCATGTACGTCGTGGAGAGGTACCTGGAGAGCGTGTCCGCTGCCGGCCCAACCACAGCCAAAGCATAGGTCCAGAAGGCATGCATCAGGCAGCCCCCGGCGCACTGCATGCCAACGCGAGAGACAATGCCATCACATTGCCAAGCTCGTCCAGCTCGTGCGTGTTGGGCAGGACGAGTGTGTATGTTGGAAATCTTGTGATTTTGACTGGTTTCTGAAGAAATTCTGTATTGAATTTTTGCTGATACGTGGACGTAGCCGTTCCTTTGATTGAAATTACTCGATTCTTTAGTACAAAGCGTCACACTCGCGCCTCTGTATGACGTGGGATTGTGGGTGTGGAGAATCTGATTTCTCAAAGCTGTACGTGGCGTGTGGCCAATCATATAAATATTTGTGTAAGAATAATTGTCCTCAGTTTCCATTCATTAGCAAGTGGTTTTATAATTCCAGGATACATCCATACATTACGACTCTTCATATGCTAAGAGCTGTTCACATTCTAGATGACTCTTCGTACGCTAAGCTTTTCATATTTCTAATAATTTGCATCTCGTCCAGATCGGCGACAGATATGATTATGGAGTTTTTTTTTCTCTACTACCAGCCAGTAAATTCTGGATTTTGGATGGAATAATCAGGATTTATTTTTCAGCGGTGTTTGGTTTCCTCTTCTAAAGTTAAGTACCTGTCATATCGGATGTTTGACATTGATTTAGAGTATTAAACATAGACTAATTATAAAACTAATTGCATAGATTGAGACTAATTTGTGAGACAAATCTATTAATCCTAATTAGTCCATGATTTGACAATGTGGTGCTACAATAATCATATACTAATGATGGATTAATTATGTTTAATAGATTCGTCTTGTGAATTAGTCACGTTTTCTATAATTTGTTTTATGATTAGTATCCAAACACCCGATCTAATACACAATGACACAATGTGACATCTCCTGAACTTAATCGAATTTGTGTAGAAACAGTAGTAGTTTTATGATTAGTGCTGTCTGCCGAGTGCCGCCGGCCCACAACCCCACTGGCGTACTGAGTCTATGTACTGCGATCTAGCTATAGACCCAAGATGTACTGGTATCTACCCCTTGTAGTTAGGCCTGACAAAAAACTCATAACTCGCTACCTCGCTTAACTCGTTCGTTTGTGGCTCGGCTCAAGCTCAGCTCGTTTGAATTTTTAAACAAGTTGAGCCAGCACTTTAGCTCGGTTAATTAACAAGCCAGCTTAATCTAGCTAGCGAGCCGCTTGCGAGCCAAAACGAGTAAGGTAAATCAGATGATAGCAACTTGAATCAGCCCAAATATGGCATGGCCCATTGGCCTAATATGATAAAATTCTAGCCCCCAACTCCCACGCTCCCACCCCTAGGCTCTAAACTTCCCCCATCCGCCGTTCCGCTCAGGCGTAGCCGTTAACGCATGCATGCTCGGCTGTTCCCCTCCTGAGCCACCGCACGCGGCACACGCGTAAGTCGCCTTATCTGGCCTTCGTACGATGGTACAGTACGTGTTTGCTGGCCGAAGGTGAACTGTCGTAGCAGGTAGAGCCTTTGCTTTGGCGTTTGGGCTGTCCGACTTTAGCAGTCGACGCCGCGCATCTTGAAGGAGGTTGAGCGTTGGCGAGCCTAGGCCACGGCCTACGGCGAGTGCAACGCTGCCTGATGGGTGCACAGCGAGCACGGCGGTGTGGCACGCAAAAGGTCATGAGCACCGCAGAACCATTGGCGTCGTCGAGGTTGGGGGCGCCGTCGTCGTGGGCGTCCAGGTGTTCTGGGACACGGGCGCCCGGGCGTCGAAGGCGAGTGTGGAGACGGTGGAGTGGATGCCGCGGCCTGCGGAAACTGAGTATCGTGCGTTCGCACGTAGGACGTTTCGTATGGCGGAGGTTGCCTAGGCCTGGCCTATTAGCTTGTGACTTTGTTTCCACACATTTGCTGTTAGCAACAAACACTAGAAATGAAAGTAGCAATGCATTTGTTAAGAAAATGAGAGGAGGCTAACGCTAAGAAGTTGATGTTGCATGCAATGGTGCAAACCAGACTCCGGAGCTCGGAGACCCGGAGGTCCTGTAAACCAGGACGTGGCTTATTGGATTGTCGGAGGTAGCAAGGTAGCAGGTGAGTGGCTCAGATCTGCGATTGCTATAACAAGGGTTTTTGATGAATTAAAGCTGACTTATCTGAACCGTAGTTGAGGTGCGAAGGCTGTCAGAATGACGTCCCGCGTAGTTGAACCTCCATTGCATAGAGGCCGAAAGCTTGGTGCCAAGGTTGAGCACCCGGAGGTCTTTGGGATTCTTTTTTATGAAACTGACGTGAAGGTTCCAACTCTCAACTCTCAAAAAAAAAATTCGTGCAGAGCACGGTGGGCGCCACGGTTGAAACATCGGTTTCTAACAAGGGTGAGAAGTGGGCGGAGGCCTTCGTCTTAGGTCGGGGTCTCCGCCCGAGATGGGCGGAGGCTGGCCTCCGCCTAAGACGGGCGGAGGTCCCTGAACGCAGCGCACTCCTGTCGGACAAAATCCTCTGTCGGAGGCTCCAGACAGAAGGTCGCTAAACGAGGGATTCAGTAGGCTTTGGCCAAGTAGGAGTAAGAGAAAGGGGCGGAGGCCCTCGGCTTTGGCCGATGCTCCGGACTCGGGCTTTGGCTCAGGCTCTGCTTGAAGGAGAGAGTGAGGATCAAGTACCGACTCACAAGAACTAGGGTTTCATAATTGCTTCACCAACCTCCTTCTCACAGTTACAAGTGTTCCCTATTTATAGGGCTCAACTACCACTTTACAGAGTTTATAACAGTGCCCCTCAACTGCTACGGTACATTTCAGGAATATTCCAGCCCTAGTGTCTAACCTCAGGGGTGTTCTCATCACACCGTCTCGCGATGTCTTGGGGAGAGCCTCCGCCGTCTTGGGAAGAGCCTCCGCTGGCTAGGCCTCGCCGTCTTGGGGAGAGCCTCCGCCGGCTAGGCCTCCGCCGTCTTGGGGGGAAGCCTCCGCCGGCTAGGCCTCTGCCATCTTGGGGAGAGCCTCCGCCGGCTGGGCCTCCGCCGTCTTGGGGAGAGCCTCCGCCGGCCAGGCCTCGGCCGTCTTGGGGGGAGCCTCCGCCTGCTAGGCCCCCGCCGTCTTGGGGAGAGCCTCCACCGGCTAGGTCTCCGCCATTATTCCTTCATCAGGCCTCTTCGAGGGGGAGTTGACCCATACTCCGTATGGGCTCCCCCAACAGTAGCCCCTCAGCTACTAGGTTATGAACGGTACTACATGACCTGGTAGATGTTCATACAAGAAGAGGCACTATACAACCCAGATCTTGGTTGCGAGGATTGCCCTCCGCAACCCGTTCATGCACGCCTCGCTAAAAACTCCATCCTAAAAACCCTGTGGGAAAAAAGGACATGGAGAAAAGAGCACGCGCATGACTCTAACCTATACATGCACTAATTCCTTAGGCTTTCAGCTCTGGGTGCCTTTATCTTCCAGATTTCTTCATCTATGGCCTTCGGCTCCTTCTGCTGCTTCTATAGCATGGTTCATCGGCTTCGCTCGGTGCTCTGATCTTCATTTCTGGGACCTTCACGATGCGTAGGTCTGTATCCTTGAGGCCTTTGCTTCTGATGTCTTTTTGGCGCGCAGGTGTGTCTCCAAGGCCCGATGTGTGGGCCTTCGTCTCCATGTCTTCTCGTTGTAGGGGTCTTCAATCGCCTTCGGGTCTTCCGCCTCTGGTATCACCTCGGCATGCGGGTCTCTGCCTCCGAGGCCTTCCTAGGTCTTCATCTTCGGGGTCCTTGCCTCTAGTACCTTCACGATGCTCAGGCCTTTGCTTCCAAAGCCTTCGCAGGTGTTCATCTCCGAGGTCTTCACCTCCGAGTCTGGTATCGTCTTGGCGTGCTGGCCTCCGTAGGCCTATGACTTTTCTTCGGACGGAGGTCTTCATCTCCGATCCTTCTTTGGGCGGAGGTCTTCATCTCCGATCCTTCTTTAGGTGGAGGTCTTCGACTTTTCTTTGGGCGGAGGTCTTCATCTCCGATCCTTCTTTGGGCGGAGGTCTTCGACTAAATCTTCGCTCACGAGGGCCAGACAAAAGACCTCACGCTCCTGAGTGGTTGGTCCTCCGGTGCACTCCCCTAGCCCCTCTTGGCTGGCGTTTGTGGTCGAGTTTTTAGCCACGATTGGTGTAGTCAACGTAGTCGTAGTAGTTGAAGTAGGTGTTCAGAACCAAGTTTGCCGATGTAGACGTCGACGAAGGTGTTGTAGAACTTGGTGTCGAAGGTGTCGACGGAGGTTCTTGAGCCATATTGCAAAAGTTGTTTGACAGAGGCGATGTTGTTGTACACGATGAAGGTGTCGATGAAGCCCCTCATGCCGTCGCGTTGGCGGAGGCTAGTTGTCATGGTTTTGCCGAAGGCCCTCCTGCAAAGCTGCTTGGCGAAGGCCCTCCTAAGAAAAATGTGTTTTGTCGGAGGAGATATTGTTGAAGTTACCGAAGGCGAAGGCAATGCCGACATAGACGCCGACGCCGCGTGTCGAAGGCCGGAGAAGTCGTAAAAATGCAACCGAGTTGATCTCCTGCATTTTTAGGGACTTAGGTTGGTCATTATAGCTTCGTCGAATATCGACTTGCTTTGCAAGTCTTTCGACACCCGGAAAGGCACTGGCTTTCCCACTAGCTGCAAAAGATGGTTAGTCATTTATATGATATGTGAAGTTAGCACGAGAGCCTTAGCTTCGTGACCTGGTGCCCGTGTTGGTTCAGGACTTCTTCAGGATTTGATGCATAGAGTCACGACACCCGTGTATTCTGGGCACGACAGCCTTAGCTTCGTGACCTGGTGCTCGTGTTGTTTCGGGACTTCTTCCAGGATTTTGATGCATAGAGTCATGGCGCCCGTGTATTCTCGGGACTTCTTCCGGGTGGCCCGAGCCATGCATTGCAATATATGTATGCGATGATGAGAATGATAGCATTTACGCAAAAATATTTAAAAGGTGTAAAGTTATTATGCATCCTGCAAAAATGATGGTAAAGTTTGAATAAAAGATAAGCTCTGTATTATATGAGAGGGTTATAGTTCAGATAGCTTGCGAAGGCTGTCATTTGAGGACCTGCACAGGTATGGATGTAACTAGTATTGAATATATAAGTAATCAGTTCCCTACGAAGGTTATACACAATAACATTGTGTTGATGCATATTATAAATA